AAGGTCATACTATTTACGTCTGTGAGCGTGTAGCGAACATAACTTCCACAGATATCATATGAAAATACATGAGAACAATGGTCTGGAAAAAGGATAAATGTATCAGAACTATGTGAGGTGTTGGAAGTGACGCAGAAACTCTACTTGAAAGGAAATATCTTGTATGCGTCGGTATGAACTTAATACTTTTACTTTTACTTTTATCCTCTTCGCAACTGATCGGCTTGTTAGCCGCTTGGGCGATCGGTCACGTATCTTTTCATTTATATTCTTCACCAAAAGATCGGCTCGCTAGCCGCCCGGGCGATCGGTCACGTCTCTGTCACGCACTGTTGGCAAATACTGGGCATGCACCGGCTCCTGAATGTACCTGAACCCGCTCCAGTGTTGGTCAAGTCTTCTCTTGAAAGAGCTCACACTCGGTGCCGTCACAACACACTCTGGTAGATTGTTCCAAGAGTTTACAACCCTCACTCCGAAAAAGTTTGCCCTCACGGTTTTCTGGACTTGCGGCTTCTTCAATCTTGAGCTGTGACCCCTTGTGGGAGCGTCCGCCAGCTCAAGTAAGGACACTCAACTGAGTAGTGCCCCTGAGATGCTTATACACCTCAACTAGGTCCTTGCCCGTTCAGTATAAGCTAGGGCAAGTTCAGGCGCTCAATCTCTCAGGGTAGCTGAGGTGCCGAAGTGCAGGCACCAGTCTGGTGGCCCTCCTTTGAACATTTTCAACCAACTGACAGTCCCTAGCATATCTCGGGGACCAGATGGGGTGACAGTACTCCAGATGGGGAAGCACTTCACTCCTGAAGATCGTCACGAGGGACGGACCGTCTAGACATCTGAACGACCTTCTTATAAGACCCAATAATTTATTTGCCTGATTTACCTTCTTCTCACAATGGCCCGAGAACTTCAGCTCATTGTCAACATACACACCTAGGTCCTTCTCACACACAGTCTCAACTAGTGCATTTTCTTCATCCCGTTGGGACATATGATACGCCTCCTTACCGTTGGTACGCCCCAGGTGCATCCTCTTACACTTCGTGACATTGAATCTCAGCAGCCATTTCTTCGACCATTCCTGGAGCCCACAGAGGTCCTTCTGCAGCTCTTCACAGTCCGCTTGGTTCTTAATTTCCCGAAATAACTTGCCATCATCGGCAAACATTTGTATGGAGGAGTGTACAACGTCAGGCATGTCATTTATGAAACAAACAAACAACAGCGGGCCCAATACACTGCCCTGTGGTACCCCACTTGTTACAGGTACAGATGACGATTTCGTGCCATTAATCACCACACACTGCTTGCGGTCATGTAGAAAGTCTTCTATCCACGCTAGGACATTTCCCCGAATTCCGTACCCTTCCAGTTTGATTTTCAGCCTTTCGTGGGGTACACTGTCGAAAGCCTTGGCAAAATCTAGGTAAATATTGTCGATATTACCACCCCGTTCTAGAATATGGGTCCAAATATCCAATACCTTGAGCAATTGTGTTAAGCAAGAGCGCCCCGGCATAAAACCGTGTTGGCAATCTTTTACAAGGTTGTTTCGTAGTAGATGTTCCATCGCGGCATCTCTGATAATACTCTCAAGTACTTTACATATTATGCTGGTCAGGCTCACCGGTCTATAGTTGTTCGTGGAGTGACTATCGCCCTTCTTGAAGATAGGACTCACATAAGCCACTTTCCATTCACTGGGGACCATTTGTTCATCCAGGCATTTACAAAACAGAATCTTCAGGGGCTCTGCAAGCTCGTTGCACAGCTCTCTTAGCACTCTAGGATGCACCATGTCAGGTCCGGGACTCTTATGGACCTTTAGCCTGGACAGTTTATGTCTAATACCCTCTTCTGTGAACACAATGTGGGTCAGTGCTGTGTCGAACCGTCCGTCCTCAAACGCAGGAAGGTTACTCGCATCCTCTCTTGTGAACACTGAGGAAAAGAAGCTGTTCAATGCCTCAGCTTTATCCTGGTCAGAATCTGCGTAACTACCATCTTCAAGCCTCATGTCTGATACTCCTACTCGCGTTTTCAATTTCGACTTTGCATAGCGGTAAAACGCCTTTGGGTTTGACTTGACCTCGCGTGCAACCAGCCTCTGGAACTCCTTTTCAGCCCTCCTACACTCTATCTTTGCTTGGTTTCTGGCTCTTGCATACATCCTCCTGTCTTGCTCATTGTTTGACCCAACCCACGTCTTGAATTTCTGGGTTTTCTTCTTAATTTTGTCTACCGCCGCATGGTTCATGTGTATGAATCCCCTCGTATTCTTAGAAGCACTGGGTTTGGTCTTGGGTATATATTTATCGATCAAATGGGTCATTTTACTAGTTATGATATTCAGCGTAGTGTCTGCGTTCTTGTACCTTAATAAGTCAGGCCAGTTGATACCCCTCATCTCTTCCCTCATCCCATTGTAATTTCCCTTGTAATATTTGCACCTTGGCCTGGCCTTATCTTGAACTAGGTAACAGTTAAATCTGAATGACAACACTGTATGGTGACTGGTGCCAACTGGGGCAAGGTGTTCCAGTTTGGCCACCATACCCTCCTCGTTTGTTATGATGAGGTCAAGTGGCTTGGGTGTTTGCTCCCCTCTGTAATGTGTCGGGTCTCTTACATGTTGGAACAGAAAATTATCTCTCAGAGTTTCTACAAAAAGAGTAGCAGGGTTATTCAAGTTATTCGGGGTGGACTCGTTTCTCCAGTCGATGTCGCCATAGTTAAAGTCCCCCATGATAAGGAGGTGGCTAGGGTTGAGCATCGCCGCATTGTCTATTAAGGTTCTTAAGTTCCTTTGATTTAGTGGGCCACAGTTTGGGGATCTGTAGATACACCCGACGATAAGTAAGTCTCCTCCCTTTAATTTAATTTTACACCACTTGGACTCTTCAAAAACATCCTCTCCCTGTACCCTCGCCTGGCTGGCTCTAAGGTCTTGCCTAGCGTAGATAACCACACCCCTCCTGCAGGATTCTTGAGTTAGGTTCGTAAATGAGTCATATCCAGCAATACTGAACTCACATTCCTCTGGGTCGATTCTCCTGTTCTTGTACAACAGTTCTACAACTCCTACAATATCTGGTTGGTGTACTCTTAGTAGTGTTTCAAACTACTCTCTCTTATCAAGGAACGTGTCAGTATTAGTGTACATGACATTCAAGCCAGAATTTGTTCTCGGTAACGTCTCTGCTCTTAGTAATAAACCCGCTCCACCCACATTCTCAGAAGCTGCAGCATTTGCTAAGTACACTGTATTTTGCAAGGTGTGGTTAGAAATGTCATTGTTTACACGGCGCTCGTCCCCTCCTGTCCGGTAGGCTGAGCTGGTGCCACCTCCCGGGTGGGGGGTTGAGTGGGTGGAGGGTGCACTGCTGCCCCCTGGCCCTGTGTCGGCACACTTGTTTCCACTGCCCTCCCCCTGAGTATAACCCATGTACACCTGTCCCCGTTCCTCCTCGACTCCTCCCTCTTCTGCTTCAAGTCCTGCAGGAGCTTCTTGTGCTGTTCCCTCTGCATTACCGTGCGGTCTGGGTGAATAAATACATCCCGAAATGCCTCGCTCCTTGCTAAGTTTTTTGCCTGCCGAATAACTTGCCATTTCTCCTCCTCACTCACTAGTGTGATCCTGAGGGGGCGAGGCTTAGCCCCCTGCTTTTGTCCCAGCCTCCTCACATCCTGAGGGGTTGCTGGAATCTTCAGAACCTCTGTGCAAATATTTTGAAACAGCACCTTATCGTGTGTTTCCTTACTCACAGTTCCCTCCGCCTGGCTCTCGGTGACTCCAAAAACTATTACATTGTTCCTGCGCTGGAGCCGTTCCTGGTGTTCCTCCTCTCCCCTAACAGTAGGTCCGTTAATTTTCATTTCTTCGACACACTTCTTCAAAGTCCCAATCTGCTGTAGAACCTGTACTGATTCTGCATTACTCTCCGCCCCCCCCCCCGTGGCCCTCCTAATACGTCAGCATAACTCCTCTTAGCAACCACCTCCATTCTATCAGCTACTTCCTCAGTCTTAGCAAGGATCTCTTTCCCAACTTGCTCCAGTTTGTCAACCAGCAGGGCTCCTGCTTCATCTATTTTCGTCCCTAGAGAACTCGTTCCCTTATGGCTTGCAATCGCTTCATTCACCTTGACTATGCAGCCAGAGCAATACCAGCAACAGCCATCATGCTTTACGGCAGTTAGTAACTTCCTAAACGTTGCATTAGTCAGGCCTGTATCCTCCATATCCGACGTCTCCCTGCAGTAATCACATATCAAACTCATGGTTGTTGTTGTTGTGGGGGGGGGGGTGCAGACTGTGTATAAATCTACACCTATTTAAAAAAATAAAGAGAGAAAAAGTACTTAGCTACTCTCTGTTGCCTATAGAGTTGTCGTCTGTGACTGCGTACACTGTATCTCCCTGTGAATGGTGTATTGTAGGCACAGTTTCAGTCCTTGAGAAAGCACACAAACAAAATAAAATTTAAAGTCTCTGTGGCACCTATGACACGAATAGGCTGGCAGTTGTCCTTACCAGCTCGATTGCCAATATGTATTCACTTTAAGTTATTTATAGTCTCTTCTGCATTCACTGATGACAACTATGAACTGATTTAACTAAAGGCACAGTACTACACTCCCTGGTTGGCCTTTATCACAGCCGTGACCACAACACCCTAAAAAATAAAATAAAATAAAAGCTTTGTCATGTGGCAGTGATTGTGTGGTTATAGGCCTGTGACCCTGGCTGTACCTCCAACTCGGTGGAAATTGAGTTTTCAAAAATACAATCGTGTCTAGCATGAAAAGTCCTACATCGATTTACATATAAATATCTCGGTAATATTTTGATAGTGAAGTTATGCCTGTGCTGATTTTATGCAATAGTGTGATTTATTTGTTTGATATAAGTAAATTATGAATATTATTTACGTTGATTTTGCTTTTATGCTACCAAGTGTAATTTCCGTTGAATTCCCTTTTATATTCATGGTGCATTTCAAATATGGTTAAGTAAAACGTTGTCAGTCATAATGTAGCACGTTTTTTCAACAATAAGTAACAAACTTAAGAGCTAGTGAAAAAAAAAGACTATTCTGGCATAAGTTGTGAAAATACTGGCATAACCAAGGAGGCATAACTGTGCTTCTTTTAGTGTAGCAAGTGGAGTAACACAGAGGTCACTGAGAGCCGCCGCCAGACCCCAGCCACAAATGTCAACATGGAGCCACGGTTGTGCTTGCTGTCACAGCTGATTAAGGTGAAACATTGTCATTTTCCTTTATTCGTTGACGTGAGTTATAAAAAACTACATCACAGTGACACTTTAGTGATGTCACACTTGAGATATTGTTGAATATTGAGCACAAACTTTGTGTTAAGGGTTAGGACGACAACCATCTGGCGTTATGATACTGTACCATAAAACTTGGGTGAATTTAGCGGATAATTATTAATTGACGAGATGTTACAACGTATAAGCTACAGTTGATAACACATAGTTATGGGCAGTGTTTGTTTAAATACTTATGTAAGAAGAAAACTGGTAAAACCAACCAACCAACTTGGGGAGAATGTTGGTTATGTCATGTTTTAGGTGTGTCACATAACCAACAAGTTACTGACTTAACCTTGTGGTTATGCCAGTGAACATTATATGGGTATGAGTTGACTGTTCTGATGGGTACAATTTGCTTGGGTACAAGTTGTCCACCACCCTTATTTGCCTGGTACTGTACAATACTAAATTTGAAAATCGATACGATCAACGTGCATAACCTAACCTAACCTAACTTGATCAAACCTTCTTAACTTCATAACCAAGGAGCTCCGTCCTCTGGACCCCCTGCCATATAAGCTCACTGGATGCAGACACTGCAGCCATATTGACAGACTGCAGAGAATCATGCATGTGTAAAATGCAATACTGTTAGGTTAGGCTCTACTGATGTACCAAGACACTGACTTGTCACACACTGCTGCTGTATCTTGTATGTATAAAGTTTAGCCATGTTAAGTTGCTCCCCTGACCCCCTAACAGCTGAAGGCACTTACCTTAAAATGAAATCATGTGTTAGACTGAAATGGTAATTATTGACGACTAACCCGCCACCGACCTTTCACAAAAAAAACGATTTTCAAAATGGGGCAATTTCACTTTTTTTTTTTATAGTGAACATTGTTGTAGTTTGTGTAATGTGTTAAAAAATTGGTTATTTCTAAATTAAATGTAACTTAACCTTAGTGGGTATGAAAAATAGACCTAACCAACCTAGCCAAACAAACCTACCTAACCTTACCTAACTTCCTTACCAGGAGGCCCCAGACCCCCGGTATATTAAACTTACTATGATATCGTGTAATTTTATGTATGTTGTGGGTATGAGAGCATGAGCTTTGATCAAGCCCGGGTGGGGGAGTGTTTTGAAATACTGTACGTCATATACAACAGACTGCACACAAACCCAGTTCAATTTCACAGTATTGCTGTGAACATAACTTTCTTAGAAAGATGTTTATAAATAAAAGTACAATATTGGGTATAATCTTGGCATTTTTAAGCCAAGTTCCTTAATAAGCACTAGAACTGTAGCGTAAGACTGGCAACACCCTTTACACACTGTTGAAAATGAAACTGGCGTGGGAATGAGAGGCGGGCGCAACAAAAACACGGCCACATTACCACCGGGAAGACTAGATAGTGTGCGCCTAGGCCCCAAATTATCTACCAAATGAAACATTTACATAAGAAATGTTTATCATACCAGAACTCACTGATGAAAATAAAGTAAGTAAATAAAGAGAAATGACTACTCGTCCCCAGACCGGTCGTCAATATTAACCACTGAAACTAATAATGTTGGTTGAATGTCCTGCCTCATTCTGGACACTTGCACGCTCTTCCTGCAAGTCCATGATCACATAATATGTGTTTAACACGGTCTTGGTCTTCAACACACACAGATGGCTTGATCTTCCAGTAGACGAATGACGCCATAAATGAGTACAGTATACGAGGCACTGCATCTCCTTAGGGAAGAACAATAGGAACAAACAGTTGACATCAAATCCAATGCAACTCTCAATTAAAACGTAAGGTATACAAACACGTACAGTACAGGGTATTGTGGAATTCAGTCTCAACCCTAAGAGGCTGATCCTGTCTTGTACTGTACAATAAATCAAAAAAGTATCTGCCCACACTGTGTGTGAAACATTATGGCCTGAATTCAGAACGGTGGTTTGAGCCGGGGATTTGAGTTTGGCTCGGGCGTGTGAATTGGGATTCCTCGATCCGAGATTTTCTGCAGTGGATTACCCATATTCAGAACATCGGCTTGAACCCCGGATCGGATAATCTGTTGCGTTTTTTTCAATTCCGAGCAAGGATTGGAACGCTGAAATTCCAACCAATCAAGTTTCATTTACACCATTACGACAGCCAATCACCATCGAGAGTAATATTTACAAGATTATGGTGGCAACTGTGACTTGACGACTTTTTACCGAGGAGAAATCACTCTTGCACATAATAAGTTTCTTTTGTTCCTATACAGCTGCTCCCCGACTTACAACGGGGTTAGGGACCCAAATCCAGGTCGTAAGTCGGAAATGCGTAAATAATACATAGAAAACCTAAAATGGGTGTCTCTTTCTTCTCAGCACTACAAAACTCTTACTGACGTTGGGACTCAAAAATATGTAATTTGACAAAATTTTGGTACGGCTGAGGCGGTCTTATGTCCGGGCTGGTCGTAAGTCGGGGAGGAACTGTAATTACAATCAAATTATTTCAAATTATAATGATTTTTGGTACTGTGTTACAGCGTGGCTGTGTTTTTATATGATAACAAGGAAGTTCCAAGAGGAAGAACAATTACATACAAATTGTAGATATAATTTGGGACAGGTGTCAATATTCATAACCAAAGCAAGATGAATCAATGCAGGGCATAGTAACCTGGTCAGGTTCAGTTAGGTTTGGTTTCTTTCTGATCTTTTAACCTCACATTTTGCCTGATTAGAAATGTTAAAAAAGACTTTCCTTTATTAATACATTAAAATCAAAATACACGCAGCATTGATTCAATTATACTGTATTGAAAATACTTACATCAAAATAGTTTTCCTAAAGAAAAACACTAAACAAAAAGAAATGTGTCACAGTGTTGTTTACAGTTTGATCCTCGTGGACCCTAAAGTGTTGTAACTCATCACCATAACTCATTCAGTAACCAGAATCTTTATTACCCGGAAACTATTCGTTGCGAAGAATCTCAGAACAATCATCAGCTGATGAATGGGAGGTAGAGGTGAACCATAGCCAACAGGTCGGTCAAGTAGATGTTCCATATCACGGAAAATTTAAAGGAAATCTCCCTCGCTATGTCGTTGTCTTGAAAATTGATAGGTTTCTGCCTATCTACCATCAGTCTTCTCTCGACAAAATTTCCAATTTGACGACATCGCCGAAAACCACTCTGTCAAAATTCATGTTGACTTGCTATCTTGAATGATGGGTTGACCGCTAAACCTTCCTCCAGGCAGGATTAACGCCAGGATTGAGAAATTTTATCTCATACCCGATGTAATCACTCGTAGGAGCGATTTTGGTTTGTGCAGGACAATAAGACCCTTGTTGTTGATCATTGATGTGATGAGTACAGGTTGACAATCCCTTATCCGAAATCCTTGGGGCAGAGGCATTTCGGATTTTGGAATTTTTCGGTTTTCAGAATGGTTATTTTTTTATTTATTTATTTATTTATTTATTTATTTTCTTTCTTTGTTTCTTTCTTTCTTTGTTTCTATCTTTCTATAAGCCCACCCTGGCATAGATCACTGACCCACATCGGGGCCTGGGGGAATCTTATAATAATAATAACTGTAATAATAATAATACTATAATAATAATAATAATAATAATAATAATAATAATAATAACTGTAATAATAATAATACTGTAATAATAATTCATTGGTCTAGGTCGCATTTCTCACTTTTGATCTTTTTTTCATTCTTGTATTTCTTTATTTTTATTATTATTTTATTACAGTATTATTGTTATTATTATTATTAATTTTATTATGTTTTATTATTACTATTGTTTTTATTGTTATCATTATTATTTTATTTTGGTGTACAGTATTTTAATTAAAAATCTTATTTATTATGAATAATTATTATTACTCTGTATTATAATTATTATTACTATTACATTTTTGCCCACCAGGCCTCGATGTGAGTCAGTGATTTATGCCCGGGTGGGCTAATCCCTGTTAAAAAAAAAAAAAAAATCGGTTTTTAGAGCTTTTCGGTTTTCGGAATTTCGGATAAAGGGTTGTCAACCTGTATACTGTAATTCGGTCAAAATCTGTTGAATACAATTCACATATAACAACTGCTGATACACCAGGATACAGTTTGAATTATACGATCAATATACAGTACAGTACATAATTACACTTATTAAAGTCATTTAGAGTTCTCAGAGGACTCAACAGTTCACAATGACACTCACGTTTTGGGGTCCAGGGTTAGACCAACGAGAACAAATATATTGTCCTGCAGGAAGATGTTGGCTGACGAGAATCAAGATGTTGCCTCTACAGTAGAGGGCGACAGTCTGTCCCTCAGGCAGTCACACAGCTGCTGCCAGCTACATCTGGCTAAGTAAGCTATTCTGAGTTGTAAACGGTTTCTTCACTTAACATGTGGCCGGCGCGCACAATTGTGCGTGGCGATAACACTCGGTTTGAATCTTTGGTTGTATTTTCAGCGACTTCAAAGTCAACAAGACCCAACAGAGGGAGAGCTGTATGGATTAACCACAAATGAGGGACAGGTGGTGGCTGTTACCCTAGTCACAAAGGCAGAGGGTCTCAAACATGATGAATCCCTCCTACTACCTGTACCCTTCACCTGTGTTGGAAAGTTCCAAGTATGCAAGGGGGAACATGCTGCTCCAAATTTAGAGGTTAGTGTGTAAATTGTTTATTTTTTATAATACCTATACTGTACTTTACCGGAGTGCGGCGGTCGGGCGGATACCGCGTTCGCTTCCTGTTCCGGGGGTCGGCGGTTCGATTCCCGGGCAGTCCCTTTTCACCCGGCTGTAAATGGGCACCCGAGTTTACAGCTTGGGGAAGTGAAGGTGGTGGAGTGCAGTACCGGCCAAGCTGGCTTCGTATAGTATACAGTGTGCTGTATCCACACTGTCCCTAACAGGCAGTCATGGGACCCACTTTCACTACTGTATTATTGATATGTGAGGCATCTGGTGTACAGTAGTCGTACATACTGCAGTTGAACTGTCCTCATCTTCCCAAAAATTGGCTCTGTGGACAAACTTAGAAGGGTTAGTGTTTCTAGCTAGTACAGTACTGTACTGTAGAGTACTGTACAGTACAGCACAGCAGAGTACAGTACAGCAGATTACAGTACAGCAGAGTACAGTACAGTACTGTACAGCACAGTACAGTACAGTACAGCAGAGTATAGTACAGTTCAGTAAAGTACAGTAGAGTACAGTACAGTACTGTACAGTACAGTACAGTACTGTACAGTATTGTACAGTACAGCAGAGTACAGTACAGTACTGTACAGTACAGTACTCTACTGTAGTGTACAGTGCAGTACTGTATTTGAAAGTAGGGATGCAACGGAACCTCAGTTTTTATTAAGTTCCAGTTCCAGCCGAAACTTTAGAAAAGTAACCGGGTGGAACCTGAACTATTTATTGTGACATTTGTTCAGTAGAGAATCTCTACTAAAGATACCTACCTCCTCATGTCCGTCTCAGCTGGTGTTGAGGGAGACACTGTGTGAGGCAGCTGGGTGAGCTGACATGGGTGTTAAACTAAACAAGTACTGGACGCGTCATGGTTCTGTGTGACTGGTTGTGTCACCCGTCAAAGACTCGTGGCTTCCCATAGATGGATTTTTTTTTTTTTTTTTACAAATTATTTGTCCATGTACAGTACTTATAAAACAACTTAAATGCTAAACTTAATCTATTTTAGCTGATATGACACAGTTTTGGAAAAATACTCTACTATACAAGGTGAATCTTACCTTGAAGCATTGTTATACGTATTACTATATAAAAAACACTGTATTAAAGAGTGCTAAAGCATATGAAACAAGGTGGTCTACTTGAACTTCATTTCACGGCTTTAGTTTTAGAAATTAGTTTAATAACCAAGACAAAGACCTCTCTAGTCTGGCATTCTGTGGTCCGGAAACTCCCGTGGTCCGGAACGATTTTATTTTGCCCATGGAGAAAATTAATTTGAGTCTGGTACTTTCGATGTTTGGCTAAATATTGCCTTATTTACCCTACCTTTTGGGCGAATTACTGCCTCTAATAAAGCAACATCCTAATAAACCAACGAAAATAACACATAAAATTAAATAAAAACAACACAGAAAAATTCTTATGTTCTACACCTACAGCTAGAGTTGAGCACACGTCATCCGAGTAAAAACTCACACAACAACATTGGCTGTCCTTATGTTTTCAACTTTACCACCACTGGTGGGTATAATTTTTTTTTTAAATTCAGAAACATTAATTAAAATATATATGAGCAGTAAATAAGTGTTGCTTTCATATTCTTATGTAGAGTAATGACGATATGTTTTCACATGTGCTCACTTACATACGTGAGCTCACTTTTTTCTTAACCATTAATGGTTAGCTACTTATATTGTTCCATTTATTAATATTAAATAACATTACTTAAAACAACCATATTAATTGTTTACATTAATTTTACTACAGCTACAACCAGGGTCTTATTTTCTTCAGTTTTTTATGTAGATCCAGTCAGTCACTGGTTTTGTAATCAATGAAAACAATGCTGTCTTGTTTCCTCGTGTGTTTTAATATTCTTCGTATTATTAATGAATTGTATTGTTCATTTTGCTCACATAAAAATTAATGAAATCAAAAAGACATTCATTAATAAACAATAATAAATCTTTTGTACATAAGAGAAATGACGCTGTTTACACGATTGTGCACGTCTGACCGTTGGTGGGCCGCTCAAACCCGTCGAAATTCGAGTTTCCGCCGTCAAAATTTTAAATTGCGTAGTGTTTTTTGTGTCCAAATAAAAAACGTCGAATTAAAAACTCCCAAAATTTGAGAACCTACTGTACAACATTTAACCCTTCAATATATCTTCAAAGAGACCACGAAGCAGTGAAAGTGGTGCTAGTGCTTCCAAGCGTAAGCACAAGTCACTATCTATCCAGGAAAAGGGTGAATTTCCATGGTCCGGCGCCGGTCAGGTCCGAGGTTGCCGGACTAGAGAGGTACAACCTGTATTAGCCTTTCTGGGTGTCATGAAACTGATTTTTTTTTCGTTGTTTAAGCAACACTTAAAGTTCTGGTTCCGGCCAGATTTTTTTTTAAGTTCCGGCAAGTTCCGGTTCCGACCGGAACCTAATATTCCGGTTCCGGTGCATCCCTACTTTAAAGCCAGACAACGCTCACGATGCAGGGCAGGTCAATAGGAGGTTCTTTGTATTAATACAAGGCTCCATAATGGCTGCCAGGGTTGTCCTGCTTGTCCTTATGGTTATCCTTCCCTCCCCAATACTGTACAGCCATTTGAAGGAGACATGGTGAAGAGGTTGCCCCTCAGAGGTATTGATGGACCCGTGTCTGCCCAAACAGTGTAAACCTGAGGAACCAAACCTACTGACTCGTATATCAGAATACAGTAGAAGCCCAATTATTTGGCACCTTTGGGGATTGACAGGTGCTGGATAAAGAGTTTTCCACTTAATTGAAAATAACTCTTTGGGTCCCCCAATAAATCCTACAATGCTCAGTGCTACAGACTGACCTTGCAAATTCATCTCAGAAAACTGAACTTCTTTAACACTTACTCCACTCCATGTACACAATGTGGCTCAGAAGTGGGTACCTAAAATACAGTATGTATACAGTCAGTCCCCGACTTACGACGGGGTTAGGGACCGACGACCAGGTCGTAAGTCGAAAATGCGAAAATAATACATAGAAAATCTAAGATGGTTGTCTCTTTTTCTTCTCGGCACCACGAGAACTCTCACTTTACGCTTGCCAGCCATTTTAAAGGGAATTACAAACAAAAATTTTGTCAGTACACAGCGCAATCACTAACGTCGGGACTCGAAAATACGTAATTTGAAAAATATTTTATACGACTGCTGCGGTCGTATGTCCGGGTGGTCGTAAGTCGAGGAGTGGCTGTGATATAAAACTATAGAATAAGAAAAATGAAGAGCATGGGTGGAGGCAGTGAGCTGTGCCCATGCCCCCTCCTCCACGATGTGATGTGGTGGCATACACACAAGGGGCAGCTGTCACACACATCTGTCAGTCACCTGCCTGACTGAAGTGTGTCACATCCCCTGAAGATGGTGCACCTAATGCTGTACTGTACCACAAAAGTCACCAATTTAAAGAAAACACAAGTTTATACGGTGAGAAAACACAGCTTCATCCAGTGAAATAATAAATATGAAAAAGATAAGTGCACATTACTGTACTAATCTTATCTTACAAGAAGACCTTCAGAACTTGAAGGATGGGAGGGAGGGAGGGTGAGATTAATACTGTGTGGTCTGGAGACCATAATTCTTCAGGGTCATCAACCCAAGTAAGTCTAGACTCTTTATCAGAAGCAGTGGATGACTGAAGAACTAGGCATAACCTGAGGTGGATGACTGAAGAACTAGGCATAACCTGAGGTGGATGACTGAAGAACTAGGCATAACCTGAGGTGGATGACTGAAGAACTAGGCATAACCTGAGGTGGATGACTGAAGAACTAGGCATAACCTGAGGTGGATGACTGAGGAGAACTAGGCATAACCTGGAGGTGGATGACTGAGGAGAACTAGGCATAACCTGAGGTGGTTGACTGAGGAGAACTAGGCATAACCTGAGGTGGATGACTGAAGAACTAGGCATAACCTGAGGTGGATGACTGAAGAACTAGGCATAACCTGAGGTGGATGACTGAGGAGAACTAGGCATAACCTGAGGTGGTTGACTGAGGAGAATTAGGCATAACCTGAGGTGGTTGACTGAGGAGAACTAGGCATAACCTGAGGTGGATGACTGAAGAACTAGGCATAACCTGAGGTGGATGACTGAAGAACTGAAGAACTAGGCATAACCCGAGGTGGATGACTGAAGAACTAGGCATAACCTGAGGTGGATGACTGAAGAACTAGGCATAACCTGAGGTGGATGACTGAAGAACTAGGCATAACCTGAGGTGGATGACTGAAGAACTAGGCATAACCTGAGGTGGATGACTGAAGAACTAGGCATAACCTGAGGTGGATGACAAGAACTAGGCATAACCTGAGGTGGATGACTGAGGAGAACTAGGCATAACCTGAGGTGGTTGACTGAGGAGAATTAGGCATAACCTGAGGTGGTTGACTGAGGAGAACTAGGCATAACCTGAGGTGGATGACTGAAGAACTAGGCATAACCTGAGGTGGATGACTGAAGAACTAGGCATAACCTGAGGTGGATGACTGAAGAACCAGGCATAACCTGAGGTGACTGATGACTGAAGAACTAGGCATAACCTGATGACTGAAGAACTAGGCATAACCTGAGGTGGATGACTGAAGAACTAGGCATAACCTGAGGTGGTTGACTGAAGAACTAGGCATAACCTGAGGTGGTTGACTGAAGAACTAGGCATAACCTGAGGTGGATGACTGAAGAACTAGGCATAACCTGAGGTGGATGACTGAAGAACTAGGCATAACCTGAGGTGGATGACTGAAGAACTTGGCATAACCTGAGGTGGATGACTGAAGAACTAGGCATAACCTGAGGTGGATGACTGAAGAACTAGGCATAACCTGAAGTGGTTGACTGAAGAACTAGGCATAACCTGAGGTGGATGACTGAAGAACTAGGCATAACCTGAGGTGGATGACTGAAGAACTAGGCATAAC